TTCTTTATTTTTTCCCACCCCCCCCCCCCCCCCGCTACGGACTGCCAACTAAGAGTGTCAAGCTGAACATGCCGCTCCTACTCACACTCCCAAGATGCACCTCAATTTTCGGCGCTTTAACAATGTAATTATTTCGGCCAAAAATGCTAGACAAGCAGTCATCGCGTTCAATTTTTCAAAATTACTGCAGTTTGTTGATGTTAGTTGCGCTTCAGATCCCAGCGTATCATTTCAAACACTTCTAATAGAAATCCATATCCAAATTCATGTCTACAGAAGAGCGAGAACTTGCTCAATTTAGTGCTGCAGTAGCTGAACAAGGACTTGACAGAAAATTAAGAAAAGGCTTGGTTCGATTACGGGCATTGGTCACCAACTGCTTTGGAGGATTCAGCCATACAATTTTGAATACCAGAGAATATTTCTGACTGACTTCAATTGTTCGCATCCTTCTACACAATCAACAATAAATTAAATGAAGAATTCATAAATTTGATAAGTAAATCCACAAAAAGTAGAAAGTACGCCATGCAAAACCAAAGCGATGTTTCAAAAATGATAAATATTAAGAAAATTTTTCTCAGACCCAATAAGCTCCGCTCAATTCCAGAAGAACGATTATCTCTGCTCAGATTAGCTGGGGTTCAGATTCACCAGAGCTAAAATCGGATCCATTGGAATGTAAGAATCCAGAAAATTAAACCCGTACTTTTCCTTCTCATGGTTAACTAAAAATCCGAGCTTGAGCATTGAGAGGTAATGGATATCTATTAAATTTATTAGACATCCGATCATTCGACTTTTAATTATACGCGTGAGTAAAAAATTCTTCAATCGTATCCGATCATCAGTTCAATACGATTTCCAGCGGAAAGGGACCTATTCATCTATTTGACCATATAAGTGAAATGACATTTTATTTAGAGATACCGACGAGGCGGATGTACCAACCCTCTTATTTTCAAGGTTATTTTACGAACGGAATTTACCGTCAGGGAAATCTAGGGCAATGCTGATATCATCGTCGTCGTCGTCCTGTTCCTCGAAGGTCGCCCTGAGCTCCCACATCCGACGGTACTGTTCCTACGGATTGAAATAACATTATAGAAGCCATGATGGCTCAACAAAACTGAAACAAGAATGGAAACTCCAGGATTCCCGTGACGCATCAATTACCCGCATGGCGTTCCTCCGAGTCGGCGAAACAGAGCCGTCTCGTTCCGTTGGCTTCCCAGGATCTTGCGTGAGTTCCTGGAAAGTCAGGTCCATGAAATCACAGTGTGCCTGAAAAAAAGTCGCAGGAATGATTTTTTTTTCTGAACAGCTTCCTCGCAGTCGTGCCCATAATAACCATGTCCGTCGCATTATCCGCTATGGCTTCGGCTCGGTACTTGCAGGCAGTTTCCAGCTCTTCTTCCGGCAGGCGAGACCAGGAAGAGTGGCTGCTGGCAGGGCTCGGCTGCAGCAAAGACCTATTGCTCGTCTGCTCGTCCCAATCACCAGAATCCAAACTCGTGCTTCGCTTCTGCAGCCGAGGAGCCCGCCAACGCAGGGTGAAGTCCAGGACTCCGTCTTCCGTCTTATGAGGATGCGGGGTGCTGTAAATGGGGCAGGAACAACCCCCGACGGTTATTCCCCAGAACCGTACGCTTTGACCCCCGCCCCCTCTCCCATTTTCCGAGAATTCGGGTCAGAAGAACAAACGTCGACTAACCTTTGATCGACGGCCACAGCGGTGGGACTGACGGTTGGAGATGGACCCGCGATTCCCGGCTTGCTCCAACTTCCCTCAGATGCTGGACAAGCATCCGAAGGTGTCCTGAAGGGAATCATGCGAGGGGTCACAGTTGCCAGTCGGGTGTTGCACGATCCCCGTCGTCTTCCGAACGACGGTGAACTCAATTTTCTCGGCAATGGTTCTCGCAAGACTTTGTGATTCGGGACACTCTGACGGGAGAAAGCGTACACAATTTCCAGAGCGTTCCCCATAAAATCCCATCAATTATGTAAATCAAATCAAGTCCGATTTGCTACGTTGACCTTTAGCATCTATTTGAGCAAAACCGTCTCCTTCAATAAGTAATCCAGACGATCTATAAATGTTCCCATAACTCTAATTCAGAAGTTGTCAAACCTTTTCCCACTAAGCAATAGCATTAAGGGCTAAGTCTGAACTTGCCAGGGATTCCACGAACACCGCAAGCAAATGGATGGAAAGAAGCCCATCGGAATGGAATTTAGTATTCTCCAGATATAGGGAAATCGATAGATACAACTACCGCCTTTGACTAAAAGTACTCTAATCATAAACGCCATTATCTTAAAGGACACCAAGTAACCCTTTAGGGGTGCAGCAACAAGAATTGATCTCAAGAAATGGCTCCTACAACTCTATTTCATTTTTTTAAATGCTCGAAGAATTGAATGAGTTGGAAAAGTATTCGCTACTGACTGTACATCGTCCTTACGATTGCAAGGATCATGGGATTTATTATTCTTGCTGGCGGATTAGTAATCCACTTGTTCACTATTCCAGATTATTAACCATGAAGGTTCCTTTGTATTTAACACTCATCTTACCATGTGCCCATGCGGTTTAGAAGCGTGATAACAATTCCATATGCGTATTATTCTCTTCAAGAATTAACGCACTTCGGTTTATGGAGATCTTTTAACGTCAGCATGGACACTGCTTCGTGTCAAAATCAGGATATGTGCTGATAATTGAGTGTTTGACATAAATATTTATTGATGGGTGGGAACATTCAGTTTTCGCAGAAACTGTACTGACATTCGTACGAGATCGCCCGTGGGCTTCCTTCTCCGTTGATTTGGCGGAGCCGAACCCGGTTTCCTCAAATACCCTGTCGGTGACGCATCCGTCCCAACAATTTGGTTTCACGACTGGAGCTAGAGAACAACTGCGAACGCTCGTGACGCTGCGTCGAGGCTGCGTTCGAAGAACTTCCTTTGATCGTGGCTTAGTAGTCCACCCGTCCGACGAGTCCCTTTGAAATTCGAGTAACCGGAATGAAATACGATCCCGTCATCAACCCAGCGTCAGCAAAAAGAAGAAAACGGCGAAAAACGTGAACCTCGCGTGAGTTCTTTTTTGGAGCCTCTGAACATCCGAGGCCGACAATAAATATACGGCGGGTGCACCGCTTAGCCTGTACTTCCTCTGCTCTTTTTGCACGAAAATTCTTGAATTAATAATTTGCAATCGATTCTGCGGCTTCGATAGGAATAGGCTATTTTGGATCCAGATCAAGAGCGATTCGCGTTCAATTTCTCATGAGGCTTCCGGCCGAAACGGGATACGACCGAATTTCCCAGTCGAGTTCATCAATGCGACGTTCGTAAAAAGGAAATTAAACCAAACTTTGCTGTGGCAAAGTGAATTTTTCATCATCAAGCTTTTCTGGAACCCAACGCGCAGCTTTCAAACTTTGATAATGTATGGCTGCGTAGTCATTTTCCAGGCTTATTTGACCGATACTGTACAGTACTGTATTTCAAAATTTCTGCTGCCCTGTAGGATATGAAATTGATTGAAAGTTGTTCTGGGCCAACTGCGACTATATCAGTACTGTATACGTGAAATAAAAATGGAAGAAATGATTTATCTCGATACAAATTCCTTCATGATCTCACGAAAAACAGAGCAGTTTGAAAAATGATGCAGCAGTGGGAACATGTCGCTTGCAACATTTACCTGGTTTTCTTTCCAATTCCCTTTTACAAAAAAAAAATTTCTCGCAAGAGGAATCCAAGAATAATATGTGTTGATTTTCCGGGGTGGACTCGCACTCAGGGGACCGAGTAATAAATCTTTGTGCTGGAAATGAATTTCTAAACGACCTAATTCTACTCGTAAATTAGCAGAAGATTCATTGAATCAACAAGGTAAAACAGTTTTTTGGACACTCACGCGGAGAAAGAAAGAGAAAGTGATAGAGACAGAAAAGAGAAGCAGCCGAATATTTATCTGCGTGTTTCTATCAAAGCAGTTCTTTGATTTACCTGTCAGAAGAGTTCAGTTCAGCTTCGTCACCGTTATCCCAAGGGTAGACAGTATTAGAAAAGCAAGACGGCCAGGGTTTCCTCGAGTCAGGGTCACAAGAAACGAGACTGAACAAAGGATTCCAGTTGCAGCAATACCACATCACACCCCCGGTTCACATTCTCACAGTACAGTACACTTCACAGCAATCAGAGCGGAGAACCGTCACCCGAGGGCTGCGAGGCGCTGACCCAGCGTCTGGCCCTGGTTCTCCTGGGAATAAACGAACACGAAGGCAACGGATATTCAAATACCTTTCCGATAGACCAGGGGGGTAGAAAAGGGGGGGGGGGGTAGAAATTCCCGAGGCCAGCGCGACGACGCAGGAGCGACGGACATACAAGTATATAGGGCTCGCGGGGTCTACGATACACTGAGCGCCTCGAACCGACGACCGGGCACAACCAGCAAAGCGCCGCACGCGTCATGCGTACTGCAGTGCTCGTCATGACGTCAGGGCATTGATCTCCACTGGCCCGTCACTTCTTCGCCGCTGGAATGTCCCCAAGAAAATTGCAAAATCTCCGTGTTGGTCGTTGGCACGAAGGCGGAGCCTACTTTTGAATTGGCGTGTGGTTAGTCATCGCAACAACGTCGGTTTACCTAGCAAGTATGGCACGCGAGCCTCGAGAGAATCTATACCGCATCACGGAATTAAAGCGAAGTAGAAGCCTCTGAGGCTTTAATGCAGGTTTTAAATGCTTTATAAATAGGCACCCAACGTCTTCCCAAAGATGTGCTCTCTGATTGAAGAATCATTGGCTTGCTCTCGTAGGCCGCATTTTTTTATTCCACAAAATACCCTGAAAATCTGGTTGTTGTGGGTTGGTCTATCTATACTAAGTTATTTTAAATCGAAGCTAGAGTAAAACATGAAATAGAAATGATTCCCCACAACAGACAACTCCTACCCTGTGAAAGACATTTCAAAGGCATAGACAGAATTCAGAAGACTTCTCATTGGGTTTGCTCATCACAATGTGATATTGGAATTTGGTGACGGTAATTTTCGGTTCATGTCCATGAAAAACTGTCGGAAGAAGTTTCGTCCAATAATCGGCATGTTATCGTATATTAAAATGTATTAGTTTCTCTATTATACCATCTCCAAAGTTACTACTCGAATCTTTGGACGCATGAAACTCCAGAACGGATGGGGAAACATTTGAAAACCAGCTGCTTGATGATTTGATCAGTATTTTTCCCTATACTGTATTCATTTCATTGCATTGATTTGCAGGTCAGAATCCAAAAGAGTCTTCATCAGAGTTGACCCTTGCTCCACCCTCACCGAAACAGTTCACCATTTTTGGATCCAAAATTGTAGCATCTTTGTGCATGATATTGTTAAAAGCAAATATCATGCCTCTAGAGTGCACTTCTTAACTGCTCTGAAAATATCTTTATCAGCAGATCCTTTTTAACTTCATGCAACATAAACCTTAACATTCAATCATCTACATTTTTCTAAACACCGCCAACACACATTTTATAGAAGGACAACTTTACCGTAGGTCTGTGTGCGACCTTAACTAATTACTCGTTTGAATGAGATTAAAAGATGATGAGCTCAGAAGGTAAAAAAAACCAAAATACCTGGTACGTCGTCAGTTAAATTAGGCTGAGGATCCCTAGACCAACAGCTTTGTA